CGGCACAGGCAGCGGGGACGCGCACGCTCACGCACGCTCACGCACGCACCCGCACAGGCGCGCGCGCCCCCGGAAGAACGTGGGCTCCGCAGGTTGGAGCCACGGACGGGGCAGGCCGCGCACGCGCCCAGAGCGCTAGGCTGGGGGCGGGGCGGGGCGGGGACTCCGCCCGCATTGGGCGGAGCCGCAAGTGACAGCCGCGGAGGCTCCGAAACGCCTTGCGTGGGCGGAGCCTCGAGCGACAGCCCAGGGGCGGAGCCCCAAGTGACAGCCCAGGAACGGAAGCCCCGGGAGCTGTGGGCGGAGCTCGCACCGCGGAGCCGGAAGCGCCTGCCGTCTGGCAGGGGCGGGACCGAGGCGCGGGGGCGGAGCCTCCTGCCAGGGCCCGTTGTGCTCTCAGGTGCGCGGACAGGTGATGCGGTGAGCCGCGGGAAAGGGGTGCGGGGCCTTGTGTTGCAGCTGAGTTTGCTCAGCGCCATACGTTAAGAGTGATAACATGTAACTGTCCTCATCAAAGAACGGCAGAGGGAGCTGGTGGGAAATGACCCGGAGGCCGACGCCCCCTTTCCTCGGGCCACTGTTAGGGACTCGCATTTGCTCTTCCCTGAAGCTCAGGGATGGGACTTCCTTACCCCGCTGCCCAATCATTGAAGTGCCACAGCCACTCTCCAGCCACCCTCCCAGAATCGCCTTCAAACAGCAGCGTGGGAAAGCGGGAGGACCAATGTCCACTCACTTCCCTATCCAGGTAGGGCTTCTGCTCATCCTGCTGACCACCTGGGAGCGAAGGCCTTCCCACCACCTTTCGCTATCACTCCCTGTCACCGAAAACAGTTCTACCATTTATTCGGTGCCTGCTGTGTCTGCTCCTCTGGCATGTGCCAGTTTTCATCCAGAAGCCACCCAAACAGATCTTTCTGGTCAGTGCTTCTGCCTCCTCGCTTCCACGCGTGCCCATGGCCATGTTCCGTTCAGCGGAGTTGTCTTCTTCAAACAGAAACCTGATGACATCCAAGGCCTCCTAAGACACCTGAGTAAAATCCAGGCTCTTTGCCAACAAGCTCCGACCCCTAGCCACCTCTGCCCTCTTCTTACACCTCCCTGCCATCACGCTGGGAGCTCAGGAAGTCTCCTGGCAGTCAGTAAACTGCAACATCAAGCAGACAGTAAGAAGAAAAGGCCGGATTAATACTGTCTATTGATTCAAGAGGATGAAGGATCCCAGGACAGAATCACAGGAGAAAGGAAAGAATAAAACGGACCTGGTACCAGTATCAGCCCGTGTTGGAAGCTGCAAACATGAATGAGCCAGGCCTTAATGAGTCCCTCCTTGATCTAGTAGTGCCACTTTAGGGATATTCCTCCTTAAGAAAATGTTCCCAAATACAGAAAAAGTTTTATGCTCTTGATGGTGTTACTTATAATAGTGAAAACAAAAACCTGCCCAACTATACAAGCACACTCAAATGTAACAGTATAGTTTTGTGGGTTTATTTTTATTTATTTATTTATTTATTTATTTATTTGGGAGGGAGAGAGGGGGCAGGGAGGGGGAGAGGGAGAATGTTAAGCAGGCTCCATGCCCAGTGCAGAGCCTGACCCGGGGCTCGATCTCACGACCCTGAGATCATGACCTGAGCTGAAATCGAGTCAGATGCTTAATCGACTGAGCTACCCAGGCACCCCTGGAACAGTACAGTTATTAAAAATGTATACAAAAGGGGCACCTGGGTGGCTCAGTCGGTTAAGCGTCTGTCTTTGGCTCAGGTCATGATCCCAGGGTCCTGGGATTGAGCCCTGAATTGGCTCCTTGCCCAATAGGGAGCCTGCTTCTCCCTCTCCCTCCGCCCCTCCCCCTGCTTGTGCTCTCTCTTGCTGTCAAATAAATAAATGTATACAAAGGCTACATAACAGCATAAATAATTCTTGAGTTAGTTCCTGAAAGTAAATGAGCAAGATACATGATGTGAAAAGTTCATCCTTACAAGTGTGTTTATAAATAAGCAATCCAACCTGTTCAGAGAAAATAAAACAGAAAAGGTACCTGTGAAATGCTGACAGTGGCGGTCGTCAGCCCCTGTGTTGTCTGTGCCCCTTGATCAGGCGAGGCGGACCTCTTTATCCTCGCCCTCCAACAGCAGCTCCTCCCAAGGGTGCCCTTGCTCCTAACTGCCCCCCACCTGCTCTGGTCCTCCAAGCTCTCAAAGCTCACCTCACACACGTCTATTATGTAAGGTAATACCTTGTCTTCCCCAACAAATGGAGTTGCAAAGCCCTTCAGGGCTGGGTCCACATCAGATTCCTCTATCCCACAAAGCCTCATATATTCTTACCCACAGACTATTTTAGTATTAATAAATGAAGATTACATGGGGTGCCTGGGTGACTCAGCTGGTTAAGCGTCTGACTCGATCTCAGCTCAGGTCTTGATCTCAGGGTCTTGAGTTCAAGCCTCATGTTGGGACACCCAATGTGGAGCCTAATTAAAAAAAAAAAAGAAAGAAAAAGAAAAGAAAACCACCACAAAGACAAAAGGCCTCATGGAACCCATTCCCAAAGTAAATGAAGGTAAATGTGCTTTTCACTCTTTATACCAGCTGACTGTTGTCCTGGACTATCGTGTGGGGTGCACAGTTCATGCAATGTCAAGTTACTAAGCCCTCCCTGCTGTTACACCTGGAGCAAGCCTGCTCTCGGATCCCAAAGGGAAGTCGGATGCTCCCAGGAAAGGCGCTGACCACCAGGAACACTCACAACAGCAGGAATAGACACATATGGGTACCAGGCCGGCAGAAAGATGGGTCTCCCTCAAAGGGCCTTCGGGGTGGGTGTGGCTAGCACTCCAGGGCATGGCATTAAGGAAAAGCAGAGCACAGGAACAGTCTTATGAATAATAAAGGGAAAGGAATGAGAATACCCTTTCACATTTGCTTGCCTTTTCGTGAAGAAAGAAAGGATGAACAAGTAACGATTCATCACAGGGACACCTGGGGGGCTCAGTCGGTGAAGCGTCTGCCTTCAGCTCATGTCATGATCTCAGGTCCTGGGATCGAGCCCCTGCTTGTGCTCTCAAATAAAAAAAATATATATATATTTTAAAGGATTTTATTTATTCATTTGATGGGGGGGGGGAGCAGCAAAGGGAGAAGCAGATTCACCGCTGAGCAGGGAGCCCGACGCGGGACTCAATCCCAGGACCCTGGGATCACGACCTGCGCCGAAGGCAGATGCTCAACCGACTGAGCCACCTAGGCACCCCTCAAATAAATAAAATCTTTAAAAAAGGAGAGTCATCGGGGCACCTGGGTGGCTCAGTCGTTAAGCATCTGCCTTCAGCTCAGGTCGTGATCCCAGGGCCCTGGGATTGAGCCCCGCATCGGGCTCCTGGCTCAGTGGGGAGCCTGCTTCTCCCTCTCCCTCTGCTCTCCCCCTGCTCATGCTCTCTCTCTTTCTGTATCTGTCTCCAATGAATAAATAAAATCTCTGGAAAAAAAAAAAAGAGAGAGTCATCACAGAGGGCGGGCAGGTGACGGGTGGGGAACCAGAGCCTGTTTCTGAGCATGGACTGGATCCACTTTTGAATCTTGCAGACAGTGTTAACAAAGGCGTCCTCAAACTGCCCTTGGGTTGCTCCACCAGTGCCCATGCACACACTCTGAGGCCTCCCGTGGCAGCTGACCTATTTGCCGACCCTGCTGACTGGAGCCTGCCGTCCCTGCTGTGAGGGCCCCGTCACCCCACTTCGTCTGTGCTACCTTAATTCAGGAGAGCTTCACTTGACAGTTGCTTTGTTTGTTCAAGGCTGTCATTTACCTTTGTTCACATGGTCCCACCTGTGGGGGTAGGGGGGTGTAAGGATGGGACTCTTACTTATGACGCCCGCTGCCCGCTCAGTGGCCTTCCTCCACCTGAGACTCTGCACCTGACTAGGGGATACTTGTGGCTTTCCAGTCCCTCACAGCTCGGGTGTAACTGCAATGAAATTAGATGCTTGCAGGATTTCCAAGCGGCTCCCGAATAGGCCCAAACCCTTCAATGCGGCAAATCTGCCAACCAGCCTCTCTAGTGCCTGGCTTGCAGGCCTCTAGCTGCTTAGCCCTGACCCTGCTTGCAGGCTAGCTCCTTCTCACCCTCCATATTCCCCTTCCTCAGACACCCCCCAGATTTGTCACCACAACACTCTCGCGGCACGCTGTTTTCATTCACGGGACTGAAGATTTGGGATTTGCACGTGAGCTTTACCGGCGCCCCGCCCGCCCCTCCCTCTCCCCCAGCTGTGGGCCCAAGGCACAGGATCTCGGTGGGTTTACCTGCCACTCTTTCCTGACCTTCACAAATGAAGTGAGGCATACCACACAAGCTCACATGGGCTCTTCCCCAAAGGAATGCTTTATTGACAAATTTCCCATTATCCACTTTTCGGACAAGATAAATCAGTTACTACAGTTGCATCCTGCTTTCTCACCACACCCCATCCATGATTCTAACCCTGAAGAAAAAAGACCAAATGCTGTTCTTCCCATGGCGTCAGCAGGGGTGACCGCAGTCCACCCAGGGCGTCTGAAGGGACGAGCAGACACTCAGCTTACCAGAGTGGACTTTGAGCGCATGCCCCCCCACCCGGGAGTGCACAGGTGCGTGTGCAGGAGCGGTCTCTGCCTGCTGGGAGCCAGTAAGGCACGGAAAGCTGCCCCTCGACACACCCCACGCATGGGGCCCTGACTGCAAGGCTGCTGGGGTGTGGCAGCTTCACAACAGGAATAAGATCTTTGCAGCTCCCGAGAAGAGGCAACAGCAGAGTTCCAGCCGACCCCATGCAGGGCCACCTGCTTCTCACTCGTCCCCAGCGTGCAGCAAATGGGCAGGTTGGAGCCAAGGGCCAGTCATGCATCAGCCATCCGTGGAGGGTGCCGGCTTTTCTTTCTCCTGGCCCCCTGCCCCCACCCCCCGAGGCCCAGGAGCCCTCTGACCAGCAGGAGCTGCCCCGATCCGTGAGAGGAGAAAGAGGCAAGCTTCATACACTGGGATGATGTGCATCAGTGAAATAAAACACACCAACGGTCCAGGCATGCTGCCCTTTGGGCTAGATGCAGGAGTCTACATGGTGCTCAAAACCCACTAAAGAACCCTTATTTTTATATATAAAAACATCATAAACAAATAAAGCATAAGGTGATGTAAGGCTTGTATTTCAGCTTGAGTCCAAGAAATAATGTTTTCTAACTGAGGCTAAAGCTGCTCTGCTTAGCTTTAATTTTTGAAAAATTCACTGCATTTAAAAAATAAAGAATTTGCTTTTGTTAAAGCTAGATCGTTAGTGTAACAATTAGGCGGCTGCTGATAACCAGTTTCTTTTCTGGAGAGTTTCAGAAAATGGACAGTTTTCTCATTTAGCGTTTGAAATAAAAACTGAAGATCCGGTAGGGCTTTCTGGATGAATCTTCCTTCCGCAGGTTCCTCCTCTAACTTACAAAAGGAGAGGTTGAGGAAATACCATTTATTTTATGCTTATCACTCTCCGTTCCTTCCACGTTCTCATGAGCTAACAAGACTGCCAAAGGGCCCACTGTCCTGTCCACTCCCCGCACCCCAGGGAGGACAGTTTACAACTTCAGTGTAAAGCATCTGCGTGCAAGACCGTGTTCTGTAAAGCTCATGCGAACACAGCGGCCACGGCTACATGTGAGTGGCATGACTATCCTCAAAGCCAGCTCCGTGCGCCTGCCCGCGGCCTGGTGGGCCGCGGCGCTGCAGAGTCGCAGTCGAGCCGATGAGGACGTGCTTGCACTTGTTCCGTGGCCGGGCAAAGCTGCGACGGGCTTAGAAAGGCGTGTGATCGGGCAGGGGCTTGGTGCCACTCCCGGTTGGGGAGGGAAGGTTCTCACTGCCATTCTCTCTGCCACCTACAACCTTAGACTACAGATGGGGAAAAAAAAAAACGAGAAAAAAAGATAGTAAAACCTGAGACAGAGCACACAATGCTGGCAGGTCCTAGGCCTGTGCCGGGAACCCCAGCTGTCCGGCTCTCTATGGAGTCTATGCCACGTCAACACCGATCAGCAATAAAGAGAACAAATCACCAACACAGGCAACAGGCTGGCTGGCAGTATCTCCAGGGATTTACGCAGTGTAAGAGCAAATCTTCCAAGGCTCCACGCTACACGGTTCCAATCCTAGGACATTCTTGCAATGACAAGTCATTGAAACGGAGAACAGATGAGTGATGGTGGGGGTAGGGCTGGAGGAAGGTGAGCACCAGGAAGGACCGTTGTGGGGATGAAACCGCTCTCCACCTTGACCGTATCAATGTCCTATCCTGGCTGTCCTACTGCAAAACGTGATCACTGGGGAAACTGTGTAAAAGGTACAAGGACCCTCCGCATTAGTTCCTGTCACTGCACGCGCATCTACGATGACTAAGTAAGTTTACGTAAAGGACACATCATGCCCCACCCCAACAAGACAAGTGAATGGTCCAGAGACCGTTACCTTTATGGTCCCAACTCGGTCTTCAAACGACTTGAAGGTCGCAGAATTCCTTTAAAGAGAGAGAGGAGAGGTCAGTGTAGGGAGCAAACGGTTGTGCCGCCCTCCTCAATCTGAAGGGCCTCAGGGTTAGGGTCAACCTCCAGAAAGATCCCTGACAGAGTCCTGAGACCTCCCTGTAAATATGGGACAAGCCAAGAAGGAGAGGGAGCACGCCCCCTGAAGACGGTCCCAGCAAGGTCATTCTGGAGGCCTCCAGGTCAGAACAGGGCAGCCACACCTGCCAACTGCAAGAACAGACGACCTACACGCTGCCAGTGGGTGAAACCCAAGACTTCACACGGGCAAACTGCAGACCATTCACCTGGGCGGCGGGTGGGACGTGGGACACACGTCTGTTGTACCCTAAATACACACACACTGAGGTCATGAACAGTCCCAGGTGTTCCTGACACAAATCTCTCACAGAAGTCCAGCAAAGGAAAACCAAGGACAATTCTGGGACAAGGGAGCGAGGAGACGGCAGAGGAGGAGAAAGCAGGGCAGCCCAGCCTCACCCTGCACCCTTTCCACAACCAGCTCCTGCCTCACTGGCTCGGCTCCTCCTGGCCCTCGGGCCTCTAGAGGCAGCCGGTCAAGGACCCCCAGACGTGCTGTGGGCTGTGGCAGCTGCGGCAGATTCTCCTGTAACAAGGACAGGGGCTCTGCTGCTGCACCACCGTGGAGAACACACCCGTGGGAAGCTGCAAAAACAAGCCACGGCTCTGGGTGTTCTGGGGAGACCAGGACTCCCTCCAGGTACAGATGAAGCTTCCCTAAGCCTCCTGGGTGCCGCGCCTAAGTGTATGAATCTCTCTGCCCCTCCCTGGCCCAACCCCATGGGCGGCCCTGGAAGCTTCCAGAGGGGAGCCCATTTGGTAAAATGGTACCTCTGAGCCTCACCCCCACTAGCTCTTTGGCCTAGAAGGGATCTTTCCAACCCCTGGCCCACAGGAGGCTGCCGGGGAAGATGATCTTAGGCTCAGGGATGTGGGAAGTGGGAGGCTGACCAGCAGGAGCCACCCACTCCCACCCGGCGCCCACCCCGGTCTGAGAGCCCGGGGGCACGAGTGCACATTACCTCATGGCTGGCATACTTATCGAGTGGCGGATTGAAGAGCTGCTGCTCGGAAGCATGGTAGAAGCAGAGAAGGAAGCAGAAGTTAATACAGGGACGAGCCTGGCATTTACCACGCCCATCAGCTCGTCCACACAGAAACCCGACTCTGCAGGGCAGGTGGGCTCTGGCCACCACACACGGAAGGGCCCCCAGCACCAGGAGGAAAACTCGACCCTAGGCTCCTCTCCCTGGCCTCCAAAGCTGCCCCAGAAATGGGAGATTGCCGAGGGAGAGCTTTAAAATAGGGAACTAAGAAGACCTAGGCCTGGGGCTTTAAAAAATACTTTTGGTACAAATAACTGTCAAGGGGCGCCTGGGTGGCTCAGTTGGTTAAGCCACTGCCTTCGGCTCAGGTCATGATCCTGGAGTCCCGGGATCGAGTCCCGCATCGGGCTCCCTGCTC